TATAGAGCTGGACTAAACTCCCCCCACAGATAGGATGATATCACAGTTTACCAAGCGCCCGTGTATTTGAATAGCTATCCATTTCCTTTTTATGATCATTATTAGCGCAACAGAAACAGTATGTCCTCGATGGATAGGGAGCTTTCAGGAGTACACTAAGATCAGGCTTGTCTAACAAGTGGGGAAATTCCACGATCCAAATGAAGATCAGCTCTTAGAAGAGGAGGCCTAGTTCTTAAGACGAGAAAGCAAGCGATTGATTTATTGTTTCTCCAACTGAACCAAGATGGTGTCTTTTGTGCAGCACGTTTACGCTTTCTGTAAAAAAAAGTTGGGTGCAAGCATCAGAGAACAGTGTTGCCTGAGCCTTTTAAAGTAAGCGGTTAGGGGGAACTGGGTGTGGGTAAAGGGATTTCCCACTAACAAGGCAAAATTAAAGGTGCTGGTAAACCTGACCTTGAAGGTGTCATAAAAATTCAGTGAGTGCCGAGGGGAAAAACATTCATTGGCTCCGAATTGTCAAACTCAAATCCCGGAGGGCCTAAAGTCTTCTGGTTTTTGGTCCAACCTGATTAGTCCATTAAGCCATTAACATAATTATTTTAAATTAATCATGAGATTTTTTTCTTAAGGTCTTTTACGGTCGATTATTGGAAAAACAAGGCGCTTCAGTCAGAAATAAGAACAGGCCATACCGATACAACCTTGACCGCATGTTTTTAGGTCACAAGGTCACTTAACAGCTGATGGTCCAATCTCCTTTACAGAAACCATTGCTTTGATTTTTAAAAAAGGACAAAAAAAAGTTTGTTTTTCTACTTCACTGTCTGTATATAAAGGTTCTGGTACCTAGAGAACAAACTCCAGCAGGTTTTATAAGTAACTCTTACCTGGGAACTATTCAATTATTATACATCAAGTTGTTGATGTGTTACATCTATCCTTGTAGAAATCTGGAGCAAAAAATCTGAAAATCTGCAGTTCCCTTATTAGAACAAATTAGTTCCTTCACTGATTACTTGCCAGCATTCCCAATTCCCAATCAATACATTCAGGGTGATCAATAAGGTTTGCTGGACAGGGATTCTTTGAGGACAGGGGTGCTTTAGATCAAATCCGTACTCCGACATTGTGAAAGAGTGGGGAGCAACATTATCTTTTCATTCCCATTCTATTGTAACCATTAATCCTAAATTATTGAAGTCATCTTCACAGCCTGACCTAATTAAGCAACTAATGATTAATTTAATAGAGTAATTCTAGGTGTCAAACAAAGGCAAAAGATAACATAGTTCAATTGAAGGCTCATTAGCAATGAAAAAAACAGACTCTCGTGTATCTCTCCAGATCCACACCTAAAACTCCTGTCTTAGATACAGTATTAAAAACCTGCAGATGTTTTACAAGACCTTCTGAACTCCAGTGACTTCTCTCACTCTCTATACCCTGCTTCCTAAGCTCTTTAACCCTGTCATTACTCAAAAATCCTTCCAGCAGAAAATGTCTATGAGCTCTATATCTTGGCTTCAGGAGGAAAGGAAGATTTTCAGTGAGCAATGACATTAGACCGCAGAATAAAGATGGACACTGGCCAGCGTTCATCTCCCAAAGAGCCAGTTGTGAATTGTACTTCTTACTTAGGAATTAAGGCCATAAAGAGTTAAACCGTCCAAAATCTAAAACAATTACGAGAGAACTCAAAACAATATCGTACAAACAAGGGAGAGAAAGAGGAGGAAATTGTGACTTAATTTGAAACAATGAACTGCAAAATGAATAATCCATTCAAAGTGCTAACTATAACTACTATAACTAACTAACTTTAACATACATTATGTTTCAAGCCAAACAGGTTACATTCTCTTTTACATCCATGTTAAAGTAAGGTGTTTCATACTTTCACACCAGATCACAAAAGAGAAAAGGCAGGATATCAAACCAGATTCAGTTTCCCAAATCTGGTTTGATATAATATTTCGGACAATTTCAGGCCATATGATTGACAAGAAATTACACAAAAGCCAGTTTCAAATGATTGAAATTGGAGGCTTTGGGTAGCTCATTTGCTTTACAGCAGCCATACTCATGCAAAACTCTTTCTTTGCTTTTCTAAAGATAAATGCATGAGTTTTTTTTTTTTACAACAGTAGCTGAAGCATTACAAGAACTTTGTTGGAGATTAGCATCTTGTTTTATTTTTCTTCTGTGAGTTGTAATAGTTTCTGTTTGCGCTAAACCAGCCTTAAAATGGAGACGCATCTGGTCTCCACTAAGAGCCCGGCAAGATAAGAGTACTTCAGTGGGAGTTTGCAGGACTTGTCTGCAAGAAAGGACACCTGTTGTTTTATCTGATATCTGTTCAGCCATGTTTACAAGCAAAATTTTTGCCATGCACAGAGTACCTTCGTCTTCAAAACAGACTAAACCCTGAATCTCGCTTTGCCTGCGCAACCTGAACAGAATTACAGTGAGTGTACTACACTGTGTAGTGGCTTGAAAACAGTTTTCCTTCTCATTAGCATTCAGAGAGTGACACTTACATGATACGGGTCACCATTATGTAAATGAAACCTGCGGATGCAGTTATCCAGTGTGCATTCATTTGTTCATGGTTTCTCAGCGCAGCTAGAAACAGAAAAGGAACAAGTGATAGGTTTATCCCACGCTGAAAAAAAAAGAAGAAAGAAAACACAACGTTTCGGCCGTGGAGCCTTCTTCAGATTTTCTTTCTTCTTTTTTTCAGCATGGGATAAACCCATTACTTGTTCCTTTGCAGCCTGCGCATGCAGACGTAGCTACCCACCTGAACTACTAGAAACAGAAAGGCCTCATTGAGGTGGGTGTCTTTATTCATTTGGAGGCTGCTGCTGGAGTCCTGTGCAGTTTGATTACAGCGACATCCCAAATAGAACAACACAGAGTTCTCCCACCCATTCGAAAATGATCAACTGGGCCATGACTGAAATGAAAGTCGTGGCTACGTGACTGCAATTCAAGATCTCCTAAGATCCCAGTCAGTCAGCTGTTTTTAAGCTTGGGGATCGAAGGGTGGTGACTGGGAGGAAGGATTTTGGAATGTATGATTGATTTAACAGTAAATTAAATTCAAAGTGTAACATGGGAATGACTGGCATACTGTAGTCTCCCCCACAATTAATTGTTAAAGCCGAACAACGCGCGGTTATTGGATTTTATTTTCAGCCAGTGTCCCTCAGCTCACAAAATGTCGTTTAACAGCTTTAAGAAAAATGGTGATTGTACAATATTAAAGACTCATTGGAAGTATACTGACTACTGGAGATACACAACAAATGAAAAACTAGAAACACATAGCAATTGGCTCGAGGTATGTTTATTCGCAAAAAGATTTCCACATAGAAGCAGAAAAAAACAGGGACTCATCTTGTCGGTAACAGATGAAGGAGAAATTATTGAGCTTTAAACAACTAACCAAAGCGTGAGACCCTTGGGAACACAAATAAAATTTAGCCCGGGTGAAAGCAACATGTGGTCATGATGTGTCATTAGTTTGTAGATAAGCAAACGTCTTATTTCACCCAGCGATGGATCAACCTCAGAAGTAAAGATTTTATTTCTTCTTATATCTTCTCACAGTGTCACCTGTTTCCAAGCTTTTGTGGTGAAGAAATTATCTACAGAACTATGCTTGGATCTGCATAAGATTGGGGTTTTCAAAACCGGCAAGATCGTATTTAAATCAAACTCCATGTTGTCTTCTTTCTGTGAATAAACTGCAATTCTGAGGGATGTGTACCCTGCTCCACAGACGTCGTAGCTCTCTAAGTCACAATCAGGAATTACAATGTTTTTATGTTATAAGCACCAGTAATTTCATGTGTTGACTAGTGTTTTCTATTTTACAACGAGTTTGTTCTTAATACAGTCCTGGGTTTTTTTTAGAAAAAAACAAGCCTGTCTTTTAGCAGTCTTTACTTCACCTTGAATACATGAACTGTTATAGCAGCTAATCCATCACATTTGTCAAACAAACCTTATTGACTTAATTGGCAGGTGTTTTTCCTCATTAACGTCATCGGCACCTCTCTGCGCACCTCTAAAACTAAAAGCTTATTTTCTGCCTGACAGATTATAGCTCCGTCTATTTACAAAGTCTCGGTAGAAGATTACCACAGCGTGACAAGAAGGAAGGAAAGACGTTAACTGAGAGGTGGAAAACAAAGCAAAACATCTGAAACTTTTGCACAGCAGTGTATCTGCACGAGGGTGTAGGTTTTTACAGCACAGAGGTTTACGAAGAGGTCACAGGTGGCCTTTTGAGCTCAGACACCGACTGCCTATCATCTAACTTAACGGACACAAAATAATCATACCTCGCTTACAAGCTGGGGAAGCTGACAACAGAAGACCCGTCCTGCAATCCGGGTTGCTGTTATCCCAATTCCTTTCCCTGTGGGGCTCACGCTGATGGGTGAAGAGCATCATGCCTTCCCCAGAAATGAAAAAGCCATGTTGAACACTCTAAACCGGTACAAATGTCAGGACACTGAATCGCAAGCAAACAAAAACACAGAGGCAGGCAGACAGGTTGGCTGTAAAAGACTGGACGTGCCCCATATTGAGCAGCACTAACGAATCAAAAACCCACACATGGAGTAAATCAGGTCCACAATGTCGAGGGTCAAGTTGACATAGGTCATGACCGTCACCACCAGCAGGTTGTCCCACACACAGTTCTGGCAGTCAGCTGGGCGAGGGTTCTTTCATAAGCTGTAGTAGGGCCAGAGGATGGCTGCTGAGAGGTACAGGAGCACTGCCAGCACGTGGAAACCGGCCATAACTTTGTCAAAGGGGAAGGGCAGAAGTTTGAGGATCGGTAAGACATTCAGGACAATGATGACGACAGTAATGGGGAAGCAGACTGCGTAGACAACTACGCACCACTCCATGCCCAACTTTCCAAAGTAGCCAGTGAGGGAGATGAAAATGATGCAGGCTACAAATGCTTCCAGGACCTTCAAGAACCCCGGCACAGTAGAAAGGTAGCCACCACCTCCACTGTGTTTGGCCAGCACAGTGTAGACAACGAAGCACAGGAAGGACACTGCCGTGGCCACAATTGCTAGGATACAGCTTTTGCAAGCGTAGAAGACTGGATAGATGATGGAGGCTGAGAAGACCATGAGGGAGGAGAGCATGGCCATGCCTGTGGTGAAGTCATCCCAGTTCATGCAAAGCCTCAGGAGCAGGTGAAGCCCGAGCATCTCAATAATCACGATCACCAGCGTCATGAGGGCACAGAAGAACCAAGTGAACATGCACCAGTTCCAGTACGAGTGGAATGTGGGACCCCCATGTCCCACGATGCCGAACGCCACGACGCAGAGCACGATCTCAACTTGACGCATTATCCCCTTCGGCTTTATCAGACTCAAGAACGTTAGAGTTATTTTTATGTCTGGCTTCATGCTTCTCCTTAAACGTAAGCGTTCAAACTCTGATCCTTAGTGCACAGCCCTTTAGACCTCACTCTGGAGTAGACGCAAAGAGAGAGGAGTTTTGGCTGTCCTTGCTCTCCTAGGCAGTCCCAATTTGTGTGCTTCCACACTCTGTTGCAGAAGAACAGTGCTCCTGCTGAATGTGGTTTTGTGGAACAGGTGTCATGCATTATCCTGCCTAAAGGTTTTCATTGTATTGAAGTATTCATGAGTGTGCTGGTTCCAGATTAGCATTTGTCGTGGAATGTTATCGAAGACAAGCCAGGAGAGGTATTCTCATCCACTCAGTAAGGTCTTTATTCATATTGCAATATGGGAAAAAGCCATCACCCGTCTGTGCAGAAAATTGAAAGCTGATTCAAAAGCAAGCAGGGTGAACCCTTGTTTTATATCTTTTTTAAGCTGATGCAACACTTCAAGGACGGGCAAAGCAGTCATTTTCCATTACTTATAGGTTTTTGCTTTTAAGCAAAAAGCGCAGTTATTCTAATAGTTTCTCATACTGCCTTCTTCAAGCAGCAGAGATAAACGTTATTAAAACATCCTGCACCCTTGACGAGTTGGGGTGCTCTCACACTTTGTTCTGAGTATCCAGCTGCTTCTGCAGCACAGCTCTGTCCGTAAACAACATTTTTAGGATAAAACAACTTTTCTCAGTAACTTTCCATTACACCTTCATCACACAATGTGAGTCCAAATAGATTTTGTCTGTCTTCCACAGAGAAGTCACACCCTGGGATCCATTCTGATTGCACAGCACAGTACCTGTTGGCTATAGTACCTCTCCACTCATATTATAAAACATCAAGCATTGCACTCAGCTTTTCAGGATGCAATCATTGCCCATAAATGTGGTCCACACTTTCCTGGTCATGGAGTGAAATCTAAATAATTTCAAAAAGGGGACTACATTCCAAATATTTTCGTAGAAAACTCATTACTAGGCCGGATTTAAAATGTGTGCTGCCTCAATCGGTCCCCGGTTGATTAGTCATTTGAGGTGTTTTCTTCATGGGAAAGTGTAGGTGTGGGGGGAAAATAGGTTCGCGTGTGAGAGATTAGTTTGGAACAAAGAAACTTGAGACATGTTTGAATTTGCATGAAAGGCAATGCCAAAGGAATTCGTGAAATCACTTTCAGTTTAAGGATTTCTGACAGCCCTTCCTCATCCTTGAGCTGTTATTTGATTGTGTGTCTTTTTTTTTGCATTTAAAATTGATTCTAAACCGCGGTGACAGCAAACAAGTGTTTTGTACTATTCTTACTTGAAAATGCACAGCTTTTTTTATTGTTTCTGTTAATTGTTGCACTCTTTGTCTGGAAATAGAAATGGAAGTATAGTTAAGGTTGTGCTGTTACTGTGCCCACAGAATGTGCCTCTCAGAAAGAACCGAGTGTGTCAAAAGAACACAGCTACCAAGAAATGGTCAGCTCATTGACGCAAAGGTCACTGGATCTAAATTTTAAAACAATAAAAAAATGTTTCCTTGCCTTTGCTTTTAGATCTCAAGACGTGAAGAAGCAGATAGCATACATTCAACACAAAATCAAAAATCACCACACGGTGAAAAATGTGCCTCACTGATGTCCCAAAATGCCTTGTGACAGTGATATTAGGTGTCTTACAGAGTCCAGCGAAGTTTGAATGTTTTTTTAATAGACTGGTAAAGCAATTTGAAGAGCAAGTGAGCTATTTAAAAGGGCGATTCATTTTATCTTGGAATCACTAAGAGCAAGTCGAGCAAAAAAGCCGAGTCTTAGCTGTGTCCAACGAAGTAAATACTGCCAAGAAATGTTCATTGCAAAACCTTCAAATCCAGGTTAAAATCCTTTGTTTCTAACCTTCCTCTTAGGCATCTCCAGGTACTGTAAATGGGTAACGATTGAGTTTGTACCTCAGATCCTTCACCCACCTAACCATAGAATGTTAGGGTCAGCTTGAAGTTATAAAAAGTAAAAAATAATGGGTGTCTTGGTGTTATGAAAGCTGTGGACATTGTTAGTTTACTGTAGTTTGTGTTTTGCTGTAGCCCATTTATTGTGGCCTTTGACATTAATAGGCTGGACATTGACCTGCGATCTTCCTTACCACCTGCAAAGTATTTCAGAATGAGAAAAAGCTGATTTTAAAACTGAAGCTGGTCTCTGTTTAAAAGGTTGCCTGTTGAAAAACAGCTGCACATCGCTCAAATGTTTGCTGTTGTCGGAGCTTTGGGTACTTCACAAGGGGAGATCATTTCTTAGGAAAAGGGAGGAGTTAGGAATCTCACTTAAATAGACGAAAAACAGAAAGGTAAAACAAAGCTCTCATTCTACCATGCAGAAGCAAAGGGACACAAACAAGGAGACGCCATCAGCAGCAAAGATGGGTGAGGATTTCAAGTCGTCTAAGCTGAATATCGTCCATTTCTGCGAGATCGCCCTTGCTGGCATTGCAGTGGTCTTGTCCCAGCTCATGAAAATTGAAATCACTAGGACCATTGACAGTGTGTCGCCTATTGGGGACCCCCTGACCGCGCTTCAAAAGGTCATCCCCTTGGGCAATGCCATTGCTAACAGAGACCCGTCCAGAAACACCCCAGCCAAAGTATGGTGCATTATCGTCTGGTGCTTCTGCTTCTCCATGACCGGGCTGACGGTTCTCCTGGAGTTCATGGGCCACTCCAAGAAGTCCAACCGCTGTAAGAAGTTCATCAAGGCTGTCCCCCGGTTGGCGATGGTCATCGTCCTCTCCGCCTGCATCGTCTTCCCTGCTTGCCACCTCTGCATGCTGAACGGTTTAATCAAGACGGAGATCGAGACGATGTGCCACAGGGAAATGATTAGCTGCACCGTGGTGTCCTGCCTCCTCTTCATCGCCTATGGCGTGGAGGTCAAGCTGAACTGGCCTTAGTCTGGTCAAAGTGGCCTGCTTTATGGATCATCCCCGCCCCCCATCAGATTCAGCCATGGCCCTCACGCAGTCCTTGTTTGCTAATGTACAGTAGATGTTCGCTTTCAGGCTCCTTCCACCCCAGTCTCCTACTGGTCATCAGCATGCAGGTGTTCAGCTGTCACCCGGAAGAGTGGATCACAAACTGGGACAAGGGACATACTGTCTTTTTTCCAGCCACCCTCACTGGTGCAACAGTGATGATTCTCAGTCTCTGTTTTCAGGGGTCTCAAGTGTAAATGGGAGTCAGCTGTGAGGGACTGGACCTAGCTGTTACTGTATTTTTCAGGTGGTAGGTTTGCTGATTGTTCTCTAAAAACCTGTCTCTAAGGTTCATTTTTTTATCAGTAATTATTGTCTAAAGATTATAATTAACTGTGATCCTGCTTAGAACAGTGTGACTCTGTGTATATTCTAGGTGTCGGGGTAATTTTAAATAAATCTAGTGGTGTGCTTTTAACTCAGTTTTTTCTGTAACTGCAGTGGCTGCGTTACTTGTTGTTTTATGTTGTAAAACGTAAAAAATTGAATTTCCTTTAATTTTTTTGCACCATAATATTAGTAGAAAGATGGTGATCCCATATATTTCATGCTATCTGCTTCTTGTCTTCTTGTGCCAGTAGCAAATAGTCATGGGTAAAATGGTTCACTGCTATCAATAGCTTTATCCAGGTGAAAGGGAGTCCTTTTAAATTCCTTTATTTAACCTATTACCTGAGAACAAATCCTCATTTACAAAATTTACCAAAAGAAATGACTGGATCCATCTGAATGAAGTGCTTTTTCGAAGGTTTGGCAGTAGTACTCCTCCCAGAATTGGATAATAAGTTTTACCAGTGTAGTTTAATGGAAAACACATGCAAAGCCCTTTGTAAACTGATGGTGATAGTTTGCTGTATGCATTCAACTTCAATAAACCTGAATGTGTTTATTTTTGCTGGTCTGTGTTTGTTGCTTTTGTTCCACACCTTAGTGACCGAATGTGGAAAAACTCCCCATCAACTGGTGTTGCAGCTTTTACAATCCACTTTTAAGAGCACATAAATAATAGTAATTATTCAAAAACAATTTCACTCCTTCGTATTCATAATGTAGCAACTTGAGCAATAAATCAATGTTCAACATTTCGCAAGGTGAATTCATATCATGCAGTTTATACATGGAATTTGAGATTTTAACTTAAATGCATTTTGTTTTCTTCAGTCCGTTCACGCTTATTATGAAAAAGGAAGCTCATCACTTCAGACCGAGCGCAGCGCGACAGTGACATGATCTGCTGAATACCACAAACTACACAAGAGACAGCACCACAGGGAGAAAGACACGTCAGTCCCTCGGAGATAAACAATGCAAGGTCATTGGGATACAGAACACTGCATGAAAGGCGTGTGGATGTGTATTGAAGTAGGACAAGACTGCCCCCTGGAGCACAGTCTGAGTGCTGGAATATTACAGAACACAACTGAAGCCTGGCACCCTAGCTAGCATTTGCTCATATTTAACAAGCAAAGAGGTTAATTTGAAGATTCATGTTGCCTATTGCTATTTCTGTCTTGGATTCAATCACATACTAAACTTCTGTACACATTGATACCTGTAAAATAAAAGTCTGAATCTGATGTATATACAGGGTATCATAATTTTGTCATCACCTTGTTCCCAGAAAATGCACGTGTGTGAGTGAATGTGCAAAGACTAGCAGTTTCAGTTTCCAAGTCAATGGGTCTCCTGAAGCCTAACAATTATGTTGATATTGGACAGGACTGAACTTTCTTCCTTAGGGAAGTATTTGATCAGTATTTGCTTGATGTTAATAATAATAATAATAATTGCTTACACTTTCTGGACACTCCACTCAAAGCGCTTTACAGGTAATGGGGACTCCCCTCCACCACCACCAGTGTGCAGCCCCACCTGGATGATGCAACAGCAGCCATAGTGCGCCAGAACGCTCACCACACACCAGCTATCAGTGGGG